AAAATCTACCATATTTCATCCATGCTACTTTTAAGAAATAAATAACCAAATACCAAAATAATAAAATACCAAAATAACTTTCAGCCACAACTATAGTGTAGCACAATTCAATACAACCACAGCCACAACTACAGTTACAGCACTTCACAGCAATTCCAAATGCACCCTTGACTCGAGCAATTTTATTTATTTATTTTTTTGGTTTAGCCAACAAAATGAAATTTACATTAATTGAGAGTATAAAGGGTACTTCAACCCATCATGATTCATGAATATGCCTAAGAATTCTCCCAACATGCTAAACAAATAATCACAAAACACATAAATTCAAGCTAAATCAAGTTACTTGATCTTGTACTTGTCTTGCTTTCTTCACAGTTTCCCTGTATTCATTCACTGCTCTAGCACAATCCCATGGGTTATGGCATCAATCATGAAAAGTAGAAGTGCATCCCTTAGCTTTATTTTGAACCAAGTAAAAGACTTCATGAATTTTCTTCTACATACATACCAACTGCCTTTTTAGGCCATTTTCTTCAAAAAATGCTTGCAAGTTGGATGTTAAACATGTAAACAAGAGAGGCAAAAAATTTATGTAAGGGGCTTCTGATCAAGTCTCCAATCATACTCAAGAGCTTATATATTTGGTGTGCATTGGAAGATGATTAATTTGTTTTACCCTACAAATGTATCCAATGAGTCCTTTTAACTAATTCTAAACACACACAAATAATATTGCTCTTTAATCTACCCAATGAGTACCCCTTGTACTCTTGAGTAATGAAATTTTTTATTCATAAAAAAAAAAAGAAAAAAAGAGAAAAAAAAATAAGATGCAAGTAATGATTTGTGCTTCAAAGAGAATCAAAATGTTTACTGCCTTAGATTTTTGCTTTTTCTAAAATTAAATTTCTCTTTTCTACTTATGGTATCATTTTTTTAAAAGGCTCTACTTATAGTATTATTGAGTGATTATAACATTCTCATATGGCTGGCCTAAACACACAATTTGATCACTTATATGAATTAAACACCCAAAATAAAAATTATATAAATATATAACAAAAAATTAAAAAAAAAAAAACATAAATATTTACCAGACACTTGAAAAGCAAAAACACTTAGTCATGATTATATAGAATAAAAATCTAACAAGCCTAACCACATGTAGCTAAGAAAATCATAAAGGTAGATTTCTATATGCCTCATAAAAGCATGCATTCACATGTTCTTTCAAACACACACAGGCAACATTTAATTGAATTAGCCAAGCACCAATGAAATTCATACACTCACTTCTGTAGAACATATACTATAAGAAATTAACGATTTCATGACTACTTTAGGCAGTCTCAAACTTTTATAATGAAGACTGGAGGGTTTAACACAATTTCCAAAGCACAGATATCATACACTATATACATAAAGGACAAAACTAGTAAGAGATTTAATATCTAGTAATTAAATGCAAATTGAAATGGTGTTAGGTTAAAAACTAGAATTACAGTTTCTAGTTCCTAGCAGTAAAGCTTTTGCAAACCCTAAAAGACATGTTTAAGAAAGGCAAAATGCACCCAAACGGATTTGTTCCAGCAGCAAAGCATATCCTTCTTGATATTTCATCAAAAGAAATGAAGTTAAAGACAAATAGGTAAAAAATTCAATGCAAATAGTAAGATTTCCTAATGGAACTGAGGAAGTACAGATCCACCATAATGAAAATCTCCGTAAAATTTATGGAAGAATCCTTGTAGTACAAAAAGATTTTATGTAAAATACGATTGAGACCAAAAACAGGAAAGAGAAACAGAGAAACCAAACTTGCAAAATCAGTTAAATGATAAGCATATATAGTAAAAAGAAATAATCAATTGAAGAACTTTGTTTAGTATAATTAAAAAGGACATACTTGGAGCTTGAGAACTCGTAAAGTCTTCCTTTTGGTGAGACGATACTGCAACTTCGACATCACACAGAACAGATAGTTCAGAGGCCTTAAGCAGCCCGTTTCGACGCTTGGAGAAGGCCACTAGTCTGCTTGCTCCATTCTCGATCCTTTTTATCACAATTTGTTTTCCTCACCATTTTCTACTTCATGATCAGAGCCACGTCAACCAGTAACTTTGCAGGAGAACCAATATTTTTTTTTAGAAAAAATGACACAAATTCTCACCAAAATTGAGCAAAAACCCCCAGCCCCAGAAATATATTGAGTAGCTACACAGTGTACATCTACTACTAAAGTTTCGACCTTCGCAAAGAAAAATTACAAATTTTGATAGATTAATAATGGCAACCCAGATGAAGGCCTTAAAAGCACGAAGGAAAGAGAAAAAGGAGGGAAATCCAGACAGAAAATTGCCTAAATTTTCTAGGAAAGAAACAAGTTTCAGCCTTTGGGCAAAGAAAACAAATTTCAAAGAGGTCAATAATAGCAGCCCCACAATCCCATAGAAAGGTTTCATCTTTTAAGCTACAAAGGAAGGAAGAAAAACAAGGAAAAAACCAAAAAGAAAATCACTGGAAAAAGCCAAAATTTTCTAGGAAACCAAACAGCAACCACCCTAGGAAGTTATTGAGAACCTTGGGAGCAATCAAGGAAGGAGAAAGTTCAGAAACCTTCACAGAAGAGAAGCTCAGAGGATCAACTAATTGCTTTTTGATATATCACTCGCTTTATACTCAACACAAAAATAAAAGAAAATGGACAGTAAGCCGAAAAGTAAAGGGGAAGTAATAAGGCATTAAAAAATAGTACTATAAGTCAACATCATCGTAAGATGTTTGCGCAACGAACCAATGTTGTTTTGACAACGTATCAGATGCATCGATCATTGTCGTGGGGAGAGGCGACCGTGTCACGTGGCTCTAACAAATTTTTGGCAATTTTATTTTAATAATTTAAGGTAGTGCTCGCCTCTTTTTTTTTTCTTTGTTTTTTTGAACCAGAGAATTTTGAAATAAGAAAAAATATTAAATTATTTTAATAAAAATTTAAATTTTAATAGAATTTAAATTTTTAAAGTGTTTCGATGCATATTGGCAACATAAAACTGCTCAGTGCGCTCGCCTTGTATTATTATTTATATGGATTGGCTAGGGCCTCCAGTCAGTGTTGTTCATCTCCTATCTAATTCCATTGGTTTGATTTAAATTGATATAAGTTACTTAAAAATTAATATAAAATTAGATTGATTTAAATTACAAAATTTTAAAATTGATATAATTAATTTAATTTGTAGTTTTATCTTCAAATCACCTAAATTATTCAATTATAAAATAAAATTTAATTATAAGATAATTTAATTAAATAATATAATCTGTTTTTTATAATATTTTAAAATTTCTTTTTTTATTTTATAAAATAATAATTCTATTAACTTAATTTAAAAAATAAAAATAAAACATTTTCATATTCCCTATATTATTTTTTTTATTTTAATCATGTATTTTAATCTTAATTTTTAATTTTTAATTTACCTACAACTTTATTTTCTTGTAACTGGTTTGCACCTTTACTCTTAGAATTTTAAAATTTTAATTTATTCTTAAAATAATATTATGATTCTCCTAAGTTTTTAAAAAATATCATTCTAAAAATCTTAAAATTATATAATAAAACTAATCTTGATATTCTACTATTTTTGGATATTTGACTTAGAAGTTTTAAATTTTGATTATGAATGCTTATAATCAATTTTAGTGATATTCATGCTACATTTTATTTACTTTTAACAAGATTTAGAAGATGAGATTAAATTATTAGTGCATTAAGAAAAAAACTAATTTTAATATTTAAGAATTGTTTACGTTGCGGTAGAAACTTTTTTTATTATACTTGATACTTCTAGTGATGTAATCAAGAAGAATTTTCAGATCTTTTTAATTTTTACAAATATAAAGGAGTATAAGAATTTGTTTATAATTTATACTTTTTATTATGTTCTTACTAATTTAGATGTTACTTTTATTATGTTCTTACTAATTTAAATGTTAATGTGTTTTATAATTATATTTTATATTTGATGTTAAAACATTTTTACATTATCTCATATATTTAATAATGTCAAAAATTGATTAATTCAACTGAATCACACTTATCCAATTTAAGTTGGATTTGTTTGGTTATCATATAATAATAAATTGAATTAATTTAAAAATTTTATTAATTGATTAAATCAGATTAATTTAATCAATATTAAAATCTAAATCAAACAACACCGTGAACACCCTACCTCTAGCTTTATTGCCACTAATTTTGGTTTAGTAATTAATTTTATTTATAATTTTATTGTCTTATAAATTTTTTAAATAATTCATAATGATATTAAAAAA